TTCCCGTTTGGTGAAACTCATGTGTTTTCCTCAGCTACAAGAGCTGTGAAGGGTTCCTCTGGAATATCTAAGTATAAATATCTAAGTGTGCCTTCAGTTGCTAGGCTATTTTTAATCAAAAGGGTGGTTACCAAGTTGTCTATAATTGTGTAGCTAAATGTGTCAAAGCAAAGACAGGTGCTCCCTGTAACAAGTTGAGTGTACAAGGTAAATTAAAGCGTACAAGGGCAATGTGGCCTGAGAGAGGTATTTAAAGAGTTGAATTATAGAAGGGCAGATTGCTGGATAAGCAGCTATGAGGGATATGATTCATGACTACAATATGGAAGGAGGACTTGGAAGGAATTTGGCTACACTATCCATAACACCTGTGACTGGTATATGATGTCATTTTGGATTTGTGTTCCTTTGGAATTTACCAGTGGTTCAAGGGGTCACAGCTATCTTAAGAGAACTTCCATTTCCTCTTATCTAACTCCTATACAGCCTTTGTCAGTAGTGGCCAAAAGCTATTACCAACTGGTGGCTGTTGTGTGTGAGAAAGTGAAATGAGTTCCCAATGGGCAACTGTCCACATGACGAAAAATGCTGGCACGGCTCTTTCTCTGTAAATAGAAAAGAGCAATGAAACCAAACCAGAACAGAAAGTCAGAATGATGGTAGGAAGAAGAGCTGCAAAATACTACAATTGAAAAGCCAAAGAAAATATATATATATATATATATATATATTTTTTTTTTTTTTACAAATACATCATAAGTACTAAGTAGGTGTGATTCACAGAAATAAATGTGAATTATATTGCACATTGATTATTCTTGAACATCCATGCCATGCTGTCCCTTTTATGAACCTGCTATTAGCAGAATGAACAGGAAGATGTGGTTTGGTCAAAAATGATTACAGCGTGTTAATGTACCACTTGATGAGGTATGTGAAGGAAAAAAAAAAAAAGGCAAAAATATTAGGTAGTCGTGGAAGGACATGATCATATGGTTGTGACTTAATGATTTTTATGTTAGCTGTGTCATGTCAGAAAACAGAGAATTGAACAGAATCTTTAAAGAATATCTTTTAGTACGGTGATGCTTAGCTTGCATTGCCTGAAGATCTGGGGCAATATTTTGTGGAGTACATGCAGTTGTCAGGAGTCCAGTAGTAAAGAAATGTGAAACAATTGTTGGAATGCAGAGAAATATTTTGAAGGCTGGAAAGAGTAATTAGTGAAAATATATCCATATGTACTCATACAGTGTATGTATATTGAATAACAGATCTTCTATTTTGGTAGATTAAAGATGGGAAAGAATTTTTAATGCCACCTCAGGCACATGTGAAAGATTAACTAGATAAATTTCAACAATATAAACCGTTAAACTTAGCATCAGGAGAGACGTCCCAGCTGAGAGGATAACTGGGCTGGAATAATCTGCTCAAGTGACTGGTGAAAGACAACCGCCTGAGTAACAAAAAAGTAGCAAAAATAAAACCCAGTGGGCCAGTGCCCAGTGGGCATTGGCAAAGGTTTGGGCAAGATAACCCTAATAATAGATTTGGTCTTTTTTTTCTTTTTTTTTCTTTTTTTTTTTTTTTTTTTTTTTTTNTTTTTTTTTTTTTTTTTTTTTTTTTGTGTGTGTGTGATTAAAGCTAGTAGTAGATTCCAAATTCATTAGTGAAAATGGGATAACGTCATCCTCTGCACCACTGCATTTAGTTTGTATTGGCTGTGCATGGTTTTGTTTTTTATTGCATGAATAGGAATAAAATCATGACATTAAAAAGAAAAGATCAAGAGTTTAGCTACAGTAGTATGGAGCACAATCTGAACAGGATCATTCAATTCCAAGAATTTTAACATCTTTTTATTTTATAAAATATCTCCGCACTGAAGAATAAATCTTGGTTATTTTGGTAAACATTTTTCATAGAATGAAATACAGAGTACAGAAAATACTTATAAACCACGAGAACTGAGTAAATGATGCTATCTTTGCTACTGAGTTCCAGTTTTAATAATCTGTAGAAGTCTTAATAAAAGGAACTTGTACTCCTTCAGTAAAAGAATTTATTTACAAAAGAGAATATATAGTTTGGAAATTATATACATATATATTTCTTTGATTTTTCTGTTATTTTTTGATTGCTTTCTCTTAAGAGTTTGGAAGTTCTTATTATCTCTCACACCTTTGCTTCTGCTCCTTGACCATCACAGAAAAGCATTCATCCCTACTTTTCCGGACTGCAACCGAGGTATATATTTTAACACCTTCACTAACCATTAGCCTTGTCAAGGAGGTTTCAGGTGCTCAGCATCCCTCCTCTAATGCTTAAATGTAACGGGGATATTTGCTGAAGAGTTTCCCAGGCTGGGACACAGCCAGTATGTGCACCCTTTGTGTATATGTTGCTGGAGAAGTGTGGGGTCAGATATCAGACCAAAAAAAAAAACAACAAAACAAAACAAAACAACCCAACGAAAAAAGAAAATCATAGTGAGTTATTTCAGTAAATCTCTCTGGGGATAAGCAGCTTAGAAATTGTTTGGTGTGTGCTATTCCACTAGTTGGGAGATGGAATGCAAATCTTAACAGGCTGAAAGATAAGGGGAATTTTTGTCAGTGGAATTTATTCAGAAAAATCTTTCAGAGAAGCCTGTGCTGGTAACTTGAGACAGCTTCAATATTTTATAAATCTTTATGCAGGTGACAAGTCAAAAAAAAAAAAAAAAAAAGGCAGCTATTTTTGTATTTTTGAACAGGACTCACCCTATTTGAAAGGTCCAAAGCTATTTAGAAAATACAAAAAGCACAGTGAACCATATTTAGTACAGCAAGCAGCGTTGCCAGGTACCACTGTCCTCCCAAATGGGAAGTCTTCTGGAATCCCTTGTTGCTATGAGACTAAATATCTCTGTACAGTGTGAGCACTGAACCAGATTTTGCTCCCACTTACACCAGCATGCATGTAGAGGGACTCCCCTGTGGCCGGGAAGCACAGTGCCAGATTCTGATGTCTTGCTTATTAAAAGGTCTGATTCAAAGCCCATGAGTATTTTGCTAATTCGGGAGCTTCAGAGAAGTAAGACTAGTTTAAAACTGAAGTACATGGGAGCAGGGCTGTCTTTTCGAACTTTGAAGGGAGTAAGCAAGAGGCTCTGACTCACTGGCAGTGTGACTTCACATACTTCCAGTCAAAAGAGTAAGTAATATGTTGTGTAAAATTGTTTACAGCTTCTCTCTCCAAAGCTAGTGTTCTCAGGCTGAAAGATATATATTTTTTATCCTGGTCTGCATAAATTCTTAAGTTTGAGATAATTTAAAGTCTAGTTACCTTTATCGCAGGACTTTTTCTTTTATTATTTTTTTGTGATTGCCTAAGCATAATATATGTGGATTTTCTCCAGACACTTGACACTTCTTCCTTTCTTCGAGAAGACAAATAAACAAACAAACCCCAATTTGAACTGAACCCAAGCATGGCTAATTTCAGAATGAAAGATATACAAAGGAATATCTCTAGCACAGCTATAACATTGCTTTAATATTGCATTGCTGTCATCTTCAAATATAGAAAACACAGCAAATGGGTTTATAGGGATTTGCGTGAAGTTTAAAATTCAAAAGATAGTTGCTCTTCATGTTTCTCCATGCTGTCGGTGAAAAAAAAACAAAAAGCGCAGGGAGGAACTTGACACAGATCAGCAACAGCAAAGGAGCCGTTCGCCCAGCTAAATATTGCTGTTTTATTAATCCGCGCTCCCAAACATCTAGAAAACAATCACTTTTTATTTTTTTATTTTTAATGAACAATATAAATAGCGGGCATTAAAAAAATAAAAAGGCATTTAACGGAATCGCGCTGAAAGCAGCCGCGGCTGAACTCGCAGCCATTCTCTTACTTCGTGTCTTCAGACCCCGCGGCCGCGCTCGGCTCCAGCTGAGCCGCTAACGCAGCCGCCCGCGCTGCGCGGGTTGCGCGGCGCAGGGCCGCGCTCTGCGGGAGCCGCGCGACTCGCTGCAGCGCGGGGCTCCGCGCGCCGCGCTTACCTCCGTGCGCCCGCGCCGCGCTCCTCCGCCGCTGCCCGGGGGCCCGGCCGCCGGGAACGGTTAACGGCGCCGCCACCACGCCTGCTCTCAG